CACCCATAGGCGCCCACGTACAACCATACACAGACTGTGGTACGGCTTGTAAAATTTATTGGACTCGTCAGAAATTGGTGGTGCTGCCCGTGAGCGCCCATTGGCGCCCACGTACAACTATACACAGATTGTGGTACAGGTAGTAAAATTTTATGTTGGGTTCAACATAAATTGGTGGTTCAGTAAAATTTGTATTGGGTTCATTATTAATTGGTTCAATTGAGTCAAAAAGCAGACCATGTCCAATCATTCTTGCAAAAAGTGGCGCGGTGTGGTTGGCTTGCATGGAATGCGCGCCAGCCATAACAAATGTACATTATTTATGGCAGGATGTAGAAAGAGCACAGACACACTGTGTAGCAACACAGCAGAAAAAAACACAACGTAGTAAAAAAAAGAGATTTTTCATGCACAAACATAAAACTTCGCTTTGTTAAAAAAAACACCGTTCCGTGCTAGTCTCAACATGACAAACGACAACGACATGAGAACCCTACGCTGTGGTAAGGGCCTCCCCAAGCCAGRTTACAGTAGGAAGCCCAAGAAGAACACCACCACTAGACCTACTACTAATAAAGGTATCACCAAGCCAATAGCTACTACTAGTAAAAAGAGGAGTGCGACAAGGTCTTCAACCATGTGTGTCGCAGCCAACAAGGAAACTTCCGTCGTCGCAAAGGACGGATCGAACGCAGGGAATACTTCATCTTCTTCCCASACAACTGCTGCACCAACAGATCAGCAACCAGAGATTGCACAAACAATGAGTACAGAATCCAGAGGGATTGAAAAATCTTCTCCAAAAGTCACAGCTGCTGCTAGCAACGATAACAGTTACACCGACGATAACAGTTACACCGACGATAACAGTTACACCGCTGTTGCCACCAAGAGTGATGGTATTCCAGCTGCTCTTCCCATCCAACAAATGATGTTTCAGATGATGCAGCAAATAATGAAGGAGCAGCTTGTAAAACAAGAGCAGCACAGTAGACCACAAAAACAACAGAAGCCTCCAGTACTAGAAGAGTTGACCTACAACAAAGAAGAACCTGAGAAAGTAAGTTATCTTAGTAGCAACGAGTCCGTCATCCTATCAAAAAGAGACATTAAAGTTTTGAATAATATGCGTGATGTTGTGGAAGGGCAATTGAAAAGTTTTGTAAAAAAATACTGGTACAACAGAGTTACTGCTCACATCATGAAAAAGGCAGTGGATATGGAGAGGGTCAATGTTCCAAAAGATATCACCCCAGCAGCTTTYTGTGAGTTTTTTAAGAAGAAGGTGGTCACTGTACTTGGCACATTGAGACATAATTCACAAACCTTAGCTCGGAAAAACTGGCTTGGTAAGTTGCTTTTTGGTTTCCTTTCTGTACTATTATTTCCCCCACTAACGCAAGTATTTTGTTAAATCCCATGATTTGTTACCTGAACACAGCTGATTATGATAAGAACAGAGTACCAGCCTCCTTCCCAGGTACTGTTGGAGTGGTTGAAGACCCAGACTACAGTGGCTGGGGGGATATAAATCCTGACTATAGGAAATACAAGGATGCCGAGAATGAAGAATTCTATTATTTTGTGACCAGAATCTTGTCTGCTGTCAATCCAACCAAAAGTAACTTCAAGCAAAGGAAAGACAAAGATTTGCTCAGTGAGATCTTCTCAGTCACTGATGAGGCATTTGCTTTAATATTGATCTTCAATGAACACCTTTGGGAGAACCAGAAGCAGAGGAAGATAAATCCTGAGATCTGCCGTAGGAAGAAAAGATATTGCGATGCTGAGAGTGGCAATAGGGACGGTTGGATGGAGGAAGGAAAGGACTTGTTTAATGAATTATGTGAAAAAGTAGCAAAGCTACGYKAGGATCATAYTACAGGGAAGGAGTTAGAGACAAAGATGAGAGAGAGGTTCATGAAGGAGAGCGGTAATTACAAGAAACGCAGTAGCAGCAATACTACTGGTATTAGTAATAATAGACCAAAAAGGAAAAAGCAGAGTAGCTACATTGATCCRGCACTGAGAGCYTCTCTGCTCGAGGATGGTTTGGGTGATATACCAGCAGGATCATCAGATGGAGAAGARACAGAAAAGGAAGAGGAGGACCTAGAATAAAATTGAAAATCAATAGTAGTATATATTACATATTTTGAGAATCTATCTATTCTACCAGTAGTATAGAGAAGTAGTCCAGAATAAAAAAAGGATTGGGAGTAATATTCTGTATGCGAGAATTTACATTTTGAAAATAGATTATAAGTAACTGGAGAAAGGAATTGATGACAATAGTAAAAAAGTTGACAATTGAGTCTTTTTTGGGGGTCACAATGTGATGGTGACAAAATATTATTTTGTTGCGGGCCTTGGAAAATTTTCATTCATTAATGGAATTATATTTGGTGTGCGCGACATGCACAAATGAGCGAATTATTTTTTTCAATGTCACAAAGAAAAATAAAAACAGTACTGTCCGTTAAAGTGGTCAACAGTGGGGGCGCGATAGCAAAGGAATAACAGGGTGTAGTTTATGCCGCGCGTGTTAAAAACACGCACAAACAAAAATTATACCCTAAGAAGCATCTCTCGGACGTAGAGTCTCATGTTTGGAATCTTCAAATGCAGCAATCTCATTGGCAATCAATGTGTCCATATTAGAAGACCACTTCTTGTTGTGCTGAAGGCTCTGGATAGAATTGAAGAATCCCAAATCAAGAACATTAAAGTCAGGACTGTTAGGTTGTTGTAGTTTCACAACAATATTCCAGTTGTTCTCACAAGCTACAGCTGTCACAGCTGCTCTGTTGTTGATTGTATGAGGCTTAGTAGCATTGTCTTCCTGGATGACACAACTTGGAACACGGTTCCTCTAGGGAACTTCTTGTAAATTGCTGGTAGAACTTTCTCAATCATGAGCTTCCTTCATGAAGAACCATGTACCTTGTCATGTATTGACTCAAATACACCATTGTTATCACCAATATGAGACAGAGCAAATCTAATCCTTTCCATTTTGTTTGCTTCTTTTAGGAAAGGCTTCAAAGTGCAGCTGTATCTCTTGATTGCTCCAAATCAAACAAGACAGTGAAAACTGGTGATGGGAATAGTGATTGTTGCTGCTGATAAGGTCCTTAGATCTCCTCTTTGCTTGTATGGAATACTTTTGATTGATTCAAGAAGAACTGCAACGTCCCTTCGCTTCCTACCACACTTGGACCTATTGCTTGACACATCACAAGCTGGGCATGTATCATCATCCTGAGTTCCTTGTATTGTTTCCAAATTTTTGCACAAGTTCTAGGGGAGACTTTGAATGCTACAGCTACAGCAGCATTCTTGTAAGCACCCTTGGCAAGTTTGCCATTCTATTTCTGATGCAGAAACAGTCTGTGTAGAATAGCTTGTCTTTGACTGTTAGTCAAGTCACATCTTGAGGGAGGAGGAATAGCAGCTGCAGGAGGAGGTACCAGCCCGCTTGGTTCAAGGAGATCCATTGCGAGATCTATTACATCCGTTACTGTAGCCATCTTGGTGTGTGTTTGCTTTAGAAAAGAGCAACATTCAATAAAGTGAGTTGATGAAAGTATGGAAAAAAGCAGCATAACATGCAACAAAGAGATAGCTGGTTGATTGTGGTTGACGTGAAGCGAATCAGCAGCCTATTGCTTCCCCGCTCTTAGTGGAAGTGCAAGGTAAGTCAGTGAATTGCTTCCCCCTCTTAGTGGAAGCAATGAAGACACAAGGCAAGTCATTGTGAAACAACAACAGAGAAGGCACACTCCCCCCCCCTCTTGTTGGAGACAATGGAGAGGCGCCCAACAGAGACACAAGGGGCCTGCAAGATGATGGATCCCCTCATAGTGGAGGTGCCAGGTGAGGCAACACCTCTACGAGTCACATGAGGTCCAAAGAAGCTATGAGTCACGTGAGGTGCAAAGAAGCCAGTGCAAAGAAGCTGGACTTAGTCAGTTGAATGGAAAGAAGAAAATTGAAGAGAGGAAATTGGGAGGTGCACTGAAATAAAGAGTGAAAATTATCATGTGAAAATAACACAGGGATCATTTTTGCACCATGCACACAGCACTTTTTTCTCTTTGCATTGGTTTTCCAGCTCAAAATTCAAAAAACCACATAAAAACTGCACGCACCCAAATATGTGCCCAAGCAATGTTAGACACTTCTTGTGACTGCTAACAAGACTGCATAAGAACATCACCAATAAGTACTAGTATGGTGATAAGAATATCGTTATGAGAGCTTTCAGTCCATCTTTAAGTGACCAGTAGAACCCAACTGACAGTAAAATCACATTGATGTGCCAAAAAAGGCCCCTTAAAGTACCTATCACTGCAAGTGCATCAGTCACATTTAAAATTATTTTATCTTCATGACTGTAGTACTATAACAATCTAATACTAGATCTGTTTTGTGCAAAAAGAAGCAGTGCGGACTATCAATTGCAACATAAAAAGATCTAAACGTACACCAGAGATTGCTGTTGTGTCATGATGGAGATCTTTACACCATGAATATATTTATTTTAGCTCACAATCAAATTTAGATAGCATTCTAAACACGACTAGTAAAACATCCTAATCAAGTATACGTTGTTATTTCATGCATATTTAGCAATTGTCATTGTTTTGCATTGAGAGCTTGTTTAGTAGCAGTAGTATATTGGCATGGGGGCAGGGTGCTCTTGCTGAGTTGTGTTGCTTTCTGTGTGGTGTTTGTGTCCGTGTTTGGATCGCGGTGGGAGTGTCACGCGCATGTTGGTTGTGGGAAAAAGAGTTCAGGATGGCCAGCGCTTGTTGGCACCAACTGTTGGCGACGGTGCACTGCACTTTGCTATCTTTATCTTTAGTTGTAGTGCACAGTAGCCAGTAGTAACTTTGAAGAATTCTTACAGCCATGGACTTACCGAGGAAACAAAAACAACTTGTTTTTATTGTGGATTTGTGTAAACCCTGGTATATTAATTTTTGCAAATAAATTAGTACCTTGACCAAGAATAGATTATTCATTTTTAACTTAAACATTGTCATTATGGTGACAACAACTTACAGTAGTAGTTTTCTTGCACCGTAGCAAGTTTTTCCTGCCGTTGCCCTTCGGGAGCAACAACAGCAACATCGGTGGCGGAAACCAATCGTGAAGTACCGTAGCTACGTACAACTTCTGCCATGAACTACTACTAGGCGCTACAGTAGTAGTCTTTCTCCGAACGTTACGTAGTGGAACTAGAACAACTTGCTTCCCGGTAATCAGCCTATTGCAAGAATTCCGTCGATGGCATTTCTTGTGTTCTCTCCTTTTCATCACCGAGGCATCAATGTGCAGGACGCAGCACTGCAAAGCGTACGGTGATGCATGCAATGATCAGTGATATGTTTAAGTCATCTAAACTTGCTATGAATGAAATAGAAACCGAAGAAAGGATGGATCAAAATGGCGGCGGAAATAGGAGAACCTCGCCACGAAAGGTTCTTGGCTGGGGATGATTCCTCCACGTCGTCCGCCATTGACACTGCTGGCGCTGGTACTAGTGTTGAGCAGCACCCTTCGCTATCCCAGTCGTTTTCTTTTCCGTCCCCAGTCGACCGGGAACGAAAACCGCCCCCTACAGAATATGATTTCAACATTTTGCAGTCGACGTCGTGTGACTCGTTTGTTTATGATTCGTATTCATCTTCGACAGCTGATTTCGACAATTTCGACCTAGACTTGCCATATCGATGGTACAAGCGAGCGTGGTCCTTCATCATGTGTATCACTGGTCTATTTGATATCCTAGCATACATGGAACCCAACCTTCGACATTGGTACAACGATGGGTCGATCTGCGTTCCTGCGAACTTCACGAATACATCCGATTTTATTGAATTCGGTGACGGTGTGTCGAACCTTTTGGTAAATCTGGATACGGGACCGCCCAGCCCGTGGTATTGCTCTCGCTACATGACGTTCTTGAATCGACTGCATGACTATAATGTTGTCATCGCATTTGTATTTTCCCTTCTGTGGTTCAAACAGTCACACACAAAGGCAAAAGAGGAATACCACTACAATGCCACCGTCAAGGAGGATCGCATTCAGCTATTGTCTCCAACTACGATCGAAACAAGAAGCAGTAGCAGCAACGATTCAAACTCAAATCAAAAGAGCAGATGGAGTCAAGTAAAATGTATGAAAATGTACAATCCAAGCTTCGTGTACTATCGTCGAATTATTTTGAGGATGGCTTTGTTGCCGGTGGGATTCTACATAATCCTCTTTCAGCTTATCCGGGGCTTGATGAACGGAAAGTGGCTTTACCGAGAACTATTGATTGATCAACCCGCCAATGAGACTGCTTATCTCTTGCTCCAGGATCCGAAGGAATATGTTACCATCGAGGTTAGCAGAGCCCACGCAAAGATGAGCACCATTTTTGCCATATTCCTCTACTTGAAGTATCATTTTTTGTCGGTAACGGCAGTTGCAAAGGCAGAGCTCGACACCCACTACATCCCTCAGTTGCGACGAAAACTAGTCATCAGAGCGTTCCGGAATCCAAGAAACTTCATACGACAACTGAAAACGGTGTTAAAATACGTTCGATGGATAAAATATATCATACCTCTTGTTGTTAAGCTCAATAAACTACGAGGAAACACAATGGCCGCCCTGAGAAAACGAAGGCAATTTACTAAAGCAAAAAAGGAAGCCAAAAGACAAAGGCTGCTACAAAAATCTATTGTGAAAACGACGTCTCAATTGGAAGACAGCGCAGCGATCTTGATTCAACGAGTCTGGCGGGCTTACCGAAATTACATGCATCATCGCGTTTTGAAGCATTTTCAAAGCAACAAAAAACTCAATGCAGCTATGAAGATACAGCTGGTTTTCCGAAGGGCATCCCTTAGAGCTCAAATTAAGTTGGCGAGAAAAAGAACAGAGCTTCAGAGACTTATATGGCTAAATCAAAGAAAGATCAAGAAACTCGATGACGATGAGCGAAGACGACTCTACGAATTGCAAGATGAATTCATGACTGAAGCCACGAACACCATCAACAAAAGGCTCTTGATGAGACCAAATACATGGTTTTCTGTCTCTTGGAATTCCCTTTTCCTTTTTTGTATTTTGGTGGAGATTTCCCACAATGCATTGAGGCCATGGTTAGAAATTCCGAAAGGAGAACAAATAAACAATCAGAAATATAAGTCTATGCGGATGTTTTTCGCTGAGTCCTTGATTCCCATACCCATTGAGGAAACGCCTGCCTGCAAAGAGTTCTTGAAGAAAAAGTCAGCAATCCGTCGATTATTCTTTCGAAAGGACCATTGTGAGCGACCAACAAGAAAGGAGGTGATGAGCGCCTTTATCGATGAAATCATTGACCCAGAATATGATCTTGAGCAACTTCGCGGTGATACAAATAATACGTCCAAACCCGTGGTTCCTTGGCAATGTAGCGATCCTGTTTTGACCTGGAGAAACAATTGGAGGACCATTGTTCGTCTGGTCTTTTCTCCCAATCCCATCTCAGAGAGTCCATCCTGCCAACAGCCAGAGAAGACATTGGTCGATATCGTCATTACACGTTTTCATCAAAAGATCGACAGACCAACCCCGTGGTACTGCACCAAGCCCTACTCGTCGATTCATGATTTCTATCGTTCGACGTGGAACTTTGTCATCGATCAAATCCAGATCGTCATCTCAGTAATATGTTTTCTAGACGTCTTCGTGAAGTTCTTTACAGGTGAAATTGATCCCAATACTGGGGAACTTCGGCCCAGGCCCTTTTTCCGGCGCTGGATATTTCCAGGCTTGCTGTTGCAGCTACTAGTCAACCCAGCAATCGAAACTTTTTCGGTTGGATTTTTTCGCTGCATGGGTCTCGGGATGGAGATTGGACCGGTCCGGGTCTTTAGATGGTGCATAGCGGTTGCCGTCCCTATTGCGTACGCCTCGAAAAAGATCACGATTGCTGCTTTGCATGAAGCCGAAGCAGAATACGATCGGGAGCTCGCTCAGTACGGAATGATGTTTTCCGACTACTCATATTAATGGATTGAATAGAAATGAAAAGTATATTTTAGTCTTTCTGATTATAGATTTTGTCCTGTGCGTTGGCGTCGTGATTGATATCCAGTTGATTTTACCTGGTACGTTTGTGAAAAGCAGTTACTGTCATGTTTTTTACACAACTGTGGGCGTTTTACAGCTACCGCACTACCAGTCGAACAATACAATCTTGTGTTCACCCTTTCTTGAAGAGAGCTGCGTCCCATCGACACCTCTATTTCAACTTATTCAGACTATTCGCAAATCGTTCGAGCTTGTTCAGTTTTTGAGCGAGAAGTAGTTGAGTTGTAATTGAATCGTGCAGGGTCGGTTTCTCCGATTAAATTCGGCAATGCAAGGTATTATAGCTACAAATACTACGCAGAGTCTGGGTTTGCTGAAGCGAAATAATGAAAAACATTTATTTATGTCCGATATAAGGTATTTGCATACTGTTTGTCAACTGATTCACAAATCATCGCCTGAATGCGGCGGTTACATATTATCGCAAGAAACGGCGCGTTTACGTGAGAATGATATCATCGACGATGGGCTTGCAGTGGTATTTGGTGTAGCCATCACGCTTCGCGAAGCACCTATTCTCATATCTTTTCTTTTTTCCCCTATTCTTTCTTCTGCATTCCACAGGGTTTTTGGGCTTCCTTGCACAGTTTTTTCCCTTTTTTTGGACAACTTCTTTCTCATCCTCATCGTTCTTGTCTTCATTTTCGTCGTAGCTATCATTGGTCTGTCCACATGCGTCAAGAAGCTCGCGAAAGGCTCCTTCCACATAGGACAACAGTGAACCAATCGACGTTTCGTTCCCTTCGGTGACGACGGCAGTACTCTTAGCTCCACGAAGGGACGTAGTCTCGATGGCTTCTAGTGACATGCCAGTCGCAGGGGTCATGATTGTTTGCATAGTGAGAGCAAACATGAAAATAGAGAGGATCATTTTCGAGGACATCATCGCGGTAGTAGTACTCGAAGTGTTGTGAATGTAATGGGATGGGATCGATGGATGGTTAGTTTGATAAACTCACAGTTTAAATTTGTGAGAAGACGAAAAACAAATTCAAATGCTTTTCTGTACCGTCCAGGAAAATAGGCTCTAGCCGTATACTATCGTATGAAACGAAAGTCCTACTTTTACTAAAGGCAGATCCCTCAATCGAGACGTATTGATATAATAATATGATAAATTGAGAGTGAGATTCTTAAAAATAAAATCATGCATATGAAGAATACGATCGTAATAATTACTATGATGTCATGTAAGCGCAACATACTACTAGAATGTAAGTGATAATGATAGCATTTGAATAGTATATTACTCAAGCTTGATTATGATTCGGAACAATTAAGTGGTATCCTGGCACAAATACGTGATATCTTCGCCGAGGGCTATGTTTCATCCCATCGTCATTCTTGTAAAAATATCAGGCTTTATAAAAAAGTCAAAGAAAGTTCCATTAGTTCGGCGAAATAAAAAGACATTATTGCTACACATAAGCAGGTCAGAATTACAGCTTCCAATTTTATCCATTTTGAATTACGGAACGTTAATTCACGTTTGATTACAGTCCCACCCGAAATTAGACAAAATAAATAAAATTTCCTGCTTCTCCGAATCAACGATACCATCGTGGAGGCCGAGCATCATAAATGTAGAATAAGCGGGTCTGCAAATTCTTTTCTATTGACATTCTTTAATATTATCCATTTAGGGATCTCCGGGGAGACCCGCAAGGAAGATTCCTCGTTGGCCGTCTAGGTTCCATTTTCTTCTTCGTCAGAAGCTTCGCCGGACGACTAACGATCACGACAGAATGAAGAAAAAATTGTTGTAGGTTCGGATTGTTCTTTAATCGGAACTCTTTTAGGAAATAAGGCACCAACGTTCCAAGCAAATGATTTCCAGTAGTATACCGGAATAATAGCAATCAAGCGAGAACTGAAAATGACTCGAAGAAACATGATTCTCTACGTTGTTCGGAGTACGAACAATCTTTCTTCCAAAAGAAATTCCGTCGTCTTGGGTTCGCAAATGAAGGCTTTTCATTTGAGTCGGGGAGAAGCCATGATATAGTCGGACAAATGACAATGACGACAAAGAGAGCAATCGCCGAAAAGCTACCAGAAATGACGAACTTTTGACATCTGGCGGCATACCGATACAAGAATGACTACTTCTTGTCCTAGCCAGCACCGTTGCGTAGCCCGAAACTAGAATTCGAACAGTTATTATAGAGTTCAAAGAGGAGTAGCGATTTAGTACAACATGGCTATGGTCCAAACCATGAACACACTACTTTTGGAAGCTGTCGAAGTCCGGCTGCGTGTGGTGGCAATGGATAAAATGGTGATCTAGGTTCGAAAGAAGGTACAGAGTTCTTAGATTCGTTTGGGAATAACTGATTAAAGCTCTTGGTCAAGCTCTACTACATTTTGCTCATTCATCAATTTTGAATAGCTTTTGAGTACCTCGAAATAAAACTAGATTGGAGTCGTAAGTCATTGCATCGCTTGGACGGCGTGTCTATCAAGAATTGACCCGGATGCTGTGAATCCGGAAACGCTGTCAAGCGATTTCGTTTGTTATTAAATAGAAAGAAGCGAACTAGTATTTCCTTGGAAAGCGAGAAGGAATTTCCTGTCAATGAGCTCCGCAGTTTTGATCTCTTCCACAGCGATTTCCATTCGAGAAGATGGCGATACAAAGAGAGTCGCCCGTACGAGTAGCACTATTCATTCTCGTAGTAGAAACCTCGGCGTTACAGTACCGGCCGGTACGTACCCGCACGATGACATTTCTTTTCTCTGTGTTGGTACGTACGGTACGTACAGTAAGAAGTACAAGTACGAGTACTCAACAGGAGTTTGTGCAAAACACGATTCAAAAATTCCTTCAAGCACGACTGAAAGACAATAGAGAGATTTAACTTCACCCGACACAGTGAAGAAGAAAATTCAAATCGATTGTCGTTCTCCTACCGTACCGTAGGCGCTCTTACTCGTCGCAACCCTGGTGAAAAAATAGTAACGGTCATCACAAAAAATTAGAATCTCGTTCTGTATCCTGAGAAACGAAGTTCATTTGACGCAGGGTAATCGTACAACAGCACTCGTTACAGTGACACTGCTTACCTAAAATCGAATAGTACTTCTGTGAATAACATACCACACCAAAGAACGAAACTGCAGTGAGAATCCACACGAAACAGGGCAATGGATAGAATTTTTGGCAAGAAGAAACAGGCGGCGGCGGCCCCTAGCCTCTCTGATACCTCGACCAATTTGGGAGGCCGCGTCGATGAAATGGACAAAAAGATTGCCGGTCTCGAGCAAGAATTGAGGGTCTACAAGGACAAGATCAAGAAGGCAAGAACGCCGGCGGCGAAAAACGCCGTTCAGAAACGGGCGATGGAGGTTCTAAAGCGAAAAAAGATGTACGAAGGCCAGCGAGACATGGTGGCAGGACAACAATTTAACATCGACCAGGCGAGTTTCGGTATCGAGAGTGCCAAGGCAAACGTTCAAACGATTGCGGCGATGAAGGGGGCTAACCAGGAACTAAAGAGAACAATGAAGAAGGATCTGAATATCGACGACGTTGACGATCTAGCGGACGATATGGCGGAAATGATGGACGAATTCAACGAGATCAACGAGGCCCTCGGGCGGAATTTCGCAACTCCGGAAGATATCGACGAAGCCGACCTTGACGCCGAGCTGGAGATGCTGGAAGACGAAATGTTCGAGGAGGAAGCCGAGGCTGCCGAGGCCACTCCGGCCTACCTGCAAACGAACGAAATGCCAGATACGCCAACTACGGAGTTGCCGCAAGCCGAGCTGGGACTGCCGGCCGTTCCCAACTAGTTTTTTCTCTTCTTTCTGAAGAAACGGATCGATTCAAGTTGCAAAAACTTGTTGATGTTTCTAAAATATTCTTGTCAAGACAATGTAGCGACTGGAGTCTTTCGTTTGCGTTGTGTTGTTTTTTCCTACTGGGTTTCCAAAGCAATGGAACAAGAATTATGTTATAGGAGATGTCGCATTACTACGTTATAAAATTATAAAACTATTTCCGTTGGGTTGGATTCGATGCCCATTGAAATGGTTCCTGCGTATAGGGCACTTCAATGCAGTGCTTTGCTGTACCTGCTTTCTTCCAAAACAATACCATTGGCAGGTATGGGATCGTTTCTTTCCTACGTCGAAATGACGGCCGACCGGCTGATCAGGCCCCTCTTCTCGTCCAGAAAATAACCGGCTTCTTGAAAGCTGGGTCCCTTGCAGAAATCCGTCACGTTGTAGATGCGGCGCTCGCGGGCCCGGGCTTCCAGTTCGTCCACGGGCACCTCGAGCCTTCCCAGGAGGTCTTCCGATTGTCCCTTCTGGCGCAGCCGGATGACCTGGTACATTTGCTCCTTGCGCATCATGTCGCCCAGAATGTGCAGCAGCAAATGGGCCCGGTCCTCCCCGCTGGTGATGTACTTGGCAAAGCTCCTTCGGAGGGACCGCCGGATCGAGAATTTTTGCGCCACGATGAAGGATTCCAGCATCATCTTGATGGCGGCGTCCACATCGTCGTCTCGGACGTAGTCGCGCAGGTGCATCTTGGCGTGGGCCTCCGACATGCGCATGATGCTCTCGACGTGCCGCACCGCGATGGGAACCCCCCCCGAATTCTTCGATTCCCTGCGGAGGGCCACATAGAGGGAGGCAATCTTTTCCTGGTCAAAGGCATTCCCCCGGAGCGTGGGCTTGACGTTGGTCCGGGCGTACTGAATGTACTTCCGCAGAAGCTCCTGGTCGATGATGCCCTCCTGTTGCTGGGCGACACTGGTGCTCGGGGGCAGGGTGGCCTCCCCGTTGTTGAGATCCCGTGTCGCTACCGCGGACATGTGGCTCGAGGTCACGAACTTGGCCAGTCGTTCGTCGAGGACGGGATCCACGGTGTCCTGGAGAACGCACAGAATGTCGAATCGCTGCAAAATGGGAGCGGTCAGTTCGACGTTGTCGGAAAGCGTGTTGGAGCTGTCGTAGCGGCCACCGATGGGGTTGGCAGCGGCAATCACGGAGCACCGGGCCTGCAGAGAGGTTACGATTCCGGCCTTGGAGACAGAAATCGACTGCTGTTCCATGGCTTCGTGGATGGATGTTCGATCCTGTTCGTTCACTGTGAAAAAACATCGATGAAAGTTGGGAGACGTGAGAAAACAGTAATGTGTGGATGGAAATCAAGAAAGGGCGGGTTTTCCTCGCAACGGATCGAAACAAAAGCAACGAAACGATTCGGTCGCTTCCGGGCTTCTGCCACCGCACTCACTCTTGTCGAACTCGTCGATCAGGGCCACCCCCTTGTCCGCCAGCACGAGGGCCCCGCCCTCCAGGGTCCACTCCCGCGTGATCGGGTCCTTGTGGACGCCGGCCGTCAGTCCCACGGCGCTGGCCCCCTTGCCGGTGCTGTAGACGGCCCGCGGCGCCGTAGCCTCGGCGTACTTGAGCAGCTGGCTCTTGGCGGTCCCGGGGTCTCCCAGCAGGAGGACGTTGCAGTCCCCCCGGATCCGGTGCTTGTCGTTGACGTTCTTGGGGACGCCCCCGAAGAGGCTCATGGCCAGGGCCATCTTGCAGTTGTCGTGGCCAAAGATGCTCGGGGCGATGCTCCTGACGATGCGGTCCCCGATCTTGGGGTCCCTCGAGAGCTCTATGATGGCCCGGACGTCCGCCTCCTGCAGGTTGGCGGCGGCCGAGGCGTCCTCCCGCTTGCGGACGTGGTTGGCCGTCAGAAAGGTGCTAAAGACCGGAAAGCCGGACTTGAGGGTGAGGCCCGAGTCGTACTTTTGTTCGTAGACCCCCGTGACCTCGATTTCCTCCCCCGGCCGTGCCACGTCGATCAGGTCGTGGGTCAGAAAGACCTCCTTCTGGCGGGGGACCCGGCCCGGGGGGACCGATCCGGGGGTCTCCTGCAGGTTGATCCGCTGGAGGTTCCCGTAGACGGAGAGGTTCGCGTCTAGCTTGAAGCGGCTTCCCTCGCAGAGCGGGCACTCCTCGGGCATCATGAGGGACTCCACGTCCTGGCCGACCCCCTCGATCCGGATGGGGCCCTCGACGGCCCGGCAGTCCTTGTTGAGGCAGCGGTAGTAGGCGATGAGGAGCTTCGGGTAGACCTCTCCCCGGCGGGTGACCACCCCGTGGACCTTGACCAGGTGGTCGAGGTGGGTCCGGCGGAGGTCTCTGAGCGAGTCCATGATGGGAATGTCGGCGATCCGGACGTGGATGTCCTCCTGGATCGCCCCGTACGAGGGAAAGATCATGAGCGTGTGGCGTGTGGCCGCCTCGTCCAGCAGGTCCAGCATGTCCTTGGGGGCATCGGCCAGCCAGACGGCCAGGAGGGGCTCCGCCTCCATGAGGTGGTGGTAGGAAACCTGCAGGGTGGCCTTGTTGGAGGCACACATGGACCGGATCTTTTGCTCGTAGATCCCGTTCGCCTTCCTGCGGCGCTTCTGCTGCTGCTGCTCTTCCTCCGTCGCCCCGGGCCGGAAGTGCCGGAGAAAGGCCCGAAACTTGCGCTGGACCTCCCTCCGGGTCCGCTCCTGTGCGATCCATTCCCGCAGCGGCACGTCAAAGGCCTCGAGGTTGATGGGGTCCTCCCCGTCCAGCTCGGCCTCGTCGATCTCGTCGTCCTCGCTCTCGTCGCCGGCGCTCTCGGCCCCTTCCCGATCGCTGTCTCCCCCCTCGCCCCTCCGGAAGACGCCCCGGCGGGCCCGGCGGGCGTCCGCGTCCTCCTCCGCCTCCATGGCGTCCAGGGCCGCCCCGTAGATCCCGGCGTCCCGGCGCCTCCCCCCCAGGCCCAGCCTCCGGTCGCGCTCCCGGAGCTTGGCCTCGACCTCGCGGCGGGCGTCCGCGTTCAGGCCCTCGTACTCCCGGTCGTCGATCCCCTCCCGGCCGTAGGTATCGAGGGCCGCGATGCGCTGGTAGTCCCGCTCGGCGTTGTCCAGCAGGTCCTCCCCGTCGTCCTCGTCCTCGTCGCCGGGGTAGGCGCCCGCGTCCGCGTCCGCATCGGCATCGGCATCCGCGTCGGGGTTTCCGTCCTCGTAGTCGTACTCCCGGTCGACCTCGTCGTCCACGTCGTCCGCGCGGCGATCTTCGTCTTCCTCGAGGGGCAGGAGCTCCTCCGACTGCAGGTCCGCCAGTTCCCTCCGCAGACGATCCTGTCGCCTGCGCTGGCGTTCGGCGTTCAGGGCTTCCATCCGTCGGCGGCGGACGGCGGCGGGGTTTTCGTCGTTGTCCTCGTCGTTGTCCTCGTCGTTGTCCCTAGAAGCCCCACGGCCTCCGCCCTCCTCCCCGTCCTCCTCGTCGTCCCGTGCGCCAAGGATGCGGCGGCGCTTCTTGGCCGATGCGGGAGGCGACGAGAGGTCGTCGCTGTCGTCTTCGAGATCGCTCATGCTTGGCTGTTTTCTGGGTTCCTTCCTCCGATTGGGATTGTGGCCGTTGCGTCCTTTCGTTTCCCTCTCGATGGGTGTGCGATGGGAAAGTGGAGACTACGATACCGTACTGTACCTGGTTCCGTGCGATACGATTCCTCGCCGAGTTGCCCGATTGAGCCGGGAGACGCGACGCGAGGCACAGTACCAGGTACGAGTACGGACGGTATGGTAGTAATCCGCAAGGTGCGGGTTTTTGTTGGCATCATGCAAGTAAGTAGAATACCTTACGGTACGTAGCTTGCACACTCTGCCGCACGATACCATACGGTATGGTCCCGTCACGAAAAACGAGCTCGGAAAGCGTGTCATTGCTACGAGCACGTAGGGTACCGTAGGTACGAACGTACGTACTTGCTGTTCGTTCGAACGAACTCAACATAACAAAGCATCGAAGGTCGAAGGAAAATCCTCCGGATTGGTATTGTTTGGCGCGCAATAATATTAAAGCCATACAGTACCGTACGGTACTCGCACCGGTAATCTTAGTGGTGTTGCGCAATGTTCGGGTCAGTACGGTACTGTACCGTACAATAATTCGTTTCCGTGTTCGAAATGAACTCCTACGGTACTGGTACGTACCGTACGGTTCGTACTGTACAGCACGTAATAAACAACTTACTGCACGTCTAATGTACCGAAGTGCTGTAGGTACATTCGATTCGAATAAAGGCACCGATACCACTTTCTCTCGTACATATATGTCGGTAATTACAGTACGTAGCCTTACGTACCCCCCGAATAGAGTGCGCAGCAATCTTAACCCCCCAACGCATCTTCTGAGCAAGAGTCATCGCAATCGCTGCCACAAGGTTTTTTCTCTTCAAGGGAACACTTCGTACGGTACAACTAGAATTGCAGCACGCAACAGAACAGAACAGAAAGTAACGTGCTACGAAACAACCAACCAGCCAACAAAACAAAACACAACCAACACAACACCGAAGCATGCCTCGGTKGAATTCACTTTTTCTGCTGGCCGTGGCAATCGCCGCCACCGCCGTCGATGCCTTTTACGTTCCGGGCGTCCGCCCCCTGGAACTGAAGGAGGGAGAACCCGTTGAGATGAAGGTAAACGCCCTGACATCGGTCCACACCCAAATTCCCAAGGACTACTACCGCCTGCCCTTTTGCGTGCCCTCCGGGGGACCCAAGATGGCCTCGGAAAATCTGGGAGAATTCCTGACCGGAAACAAGATCCAGTCCTCGCCCTACAGCATCAACATGCTCACCGACGCGTACTGCACCAAGCTCTGCCAGAAAACGCTCAGCCCCGTCCAGGCCATGACCCTGCGCAAGCACATCAAGTACGGGTACCACAACAACTGGATCATTGACAACCTTCCCTCCGCCGCCGTGGGCCTCAATTCGCAGACGAAAAAGAAACAGCTCCACTACGCCGGTGGATTCCCCATTGGATTCCTGGACGCCAACACCGGACACCCGTACATCTTCAACCACGTCAACATCATGATCAAATACCACCAGTACGACGAGACCAAATCCGAGTACCGCGTGGTGGGCTTTGCAGTGGAACCCATGAGCATTAAGCACAGCTTTGCGGGCGGATACGAGTGGGACGGCGACGACCCCGAGGGATGGAGCAAGACCCTGTCGAGCTGCACCGACGCCTCCCAGCACCTCCACACCAGCCGCGAATCCATCGCAGCCTCCCAGATCATTGCCCCCAATGAGTCGATCATCTTTACGTACGATGTCATCTGGGAGCAGTCCGATATTGCCTGGTCGTCCCGATGGGACATTTACCTCTCGGAAGACGACCTGGTACCGGCCGAGGTCCATTGGTTTTCGATCACCAACTCGATCCTGGTCGTCCTCTTTCTGAGCCTACTGGTGGTGAGCATGCTGGTCCGAAACCTCCGCCGGGACATTGCCGCCTACAACGCGCTGGCCGCGCTCGCCGACGAAGAACGGGACGAGGACATGGACGAGAGCGGCTGGAAACTGGTCCACGCCGACGTCTTCCGACCCCCGGACAACCACCCCATGATGTTTTGCGTCTGCTGCGGAGGGGGCGTCCAGCTGGCCCTCACGATCTTCCTTTCCATCTGCTTCTCGGCGATCGGATTCCTGAACCCGGCCCGGCGTGGTTCCCTCATGAACGGAATCCTCTCGTTCTACGTGCTCAGCGGAATCCTGGCGGGATACGTCAGCAGCCGGCTCTACAAGGCCTTTAAGGGACGCCTCTGGCAGCTGTGCACCGTCGTCACCGCCCTGCTCTTCCCCGGGGTTGCTTTTTGCATCTTTTGCTTTTTCAACATCATCCTCTTCTTCCTGCACTCGTCGGCGTCGGCTCCCCTGCTGGACATTATCATTGTCGCAGCCATGTGGTGCGGGGTCTCCGTCCCCCTGGTCTTTGTGGGTGCCTACTTTGGCTACAAGCAAGAGTCCATCTCCTTCCCAACCGTCACGTCCACGATCGCCCGTGCCATTCCGGAGCCGCAGCTCATTATGCACCCCATGGTGGGAGCCCTCGTGGCCGGTGTCGTCCCCTTTGCCGCGGCCTACGTCGAGCTCTTCTTCATCATGACCTCCCTGTGGATGGACCAATACTACTACGTCTTTGGATTCACCCTCATTGTCTTTTTCATTCTTATGGTTACCTGCGCCGAGGTCACCCTTCTCTTGGTGTACAACCAGCTTTGCATCGAGAACCATCGCTGGTGGTGGTTCTCCTTCTTTGCTCCCGGATCGACCGCCCTGTACACCTTTATCTACAGCATATTCTGGTTCAAGGCCCTGGAGGCTTCCAAGATGATCATGACGTACCTGCTCTACTTTGGATACATGGGACTCATCTGTTCGGCCATGTTTTTGGTCACCGGAACCGTCGGGGCCCTGTCGTCCCTGTGGTTCGTGAAGACTATTTTTGGGACCATCAAGGTGGACTAAGAGACAAATCGGTGGTCCGGGTTGTCGATCGAAGACAGTCTTTGTTTCTCGGCGTGGGGCGGCAGAATTTTCACCGAATCAACCGAAACACGTGGCCGCTGCGAGTTTGATCCGTCACAAAAACACTCCTCGAAGCAAACGCACCGAACACCAATACGTTTGAATTAAGTATTTTTAAAACTCATTTTATTGCTTTCAAGATGCATCTTTCGTGGTGCGTTTTTGGCGTCGTGTCAACCAGATAGCTCGGACGGTGCCTCAAGAGTTCTTCTGAATCTTGCTTTTGTGCGATTTTGTACTTTTCAGTCTTTTTCTGGGTTTTCAGTGGAGATTGTTCTTGTCGGAGAAGTTCGTAGTCTTGTACCGTAGCAACTCATACAGAACCGTGATCCGTGATGCTACGAGTATTCAAGCAAAAGTGAAGTAATGTACTGGCTAACGTACGGTACCAGGTACGTACGACAGCGTTGCGTTTTTCATTTAAAAAATTATAAACTATAAAAAAGTTTCTCGAAGCGCCCCTCATCCTTTCAATGAACATCGGTCACCCAGTCAGACCTTGAGAATTCGTTGTTCGAGTGTACGAAGATGCCAGAGGAAACGTGCGTACGTTCCTCCGAGGCTCGGTGTGTACTCCCGGTACGAGTACCAGTACGTACTCGTACGAGAAAAATGTGAAGAATCGAGACTTTCGAGAAAACTGAGGGGAAAATGTTGCTACTTGTCTTTCCAGAGAAGTGTGTCTCATCTCCCGTTGTTTGGCGACGATCCATGATAGCACGCGAAAGACATACTATGACACTGATATTGAAATTTCAGGCAGTCGTTTCTACACTATTAATTCTATCTCTTCTTCCCGAAACAACAAGAGCAATGGCATCTTCGGCAGCGGCTTCGACGATCTCGTCGTCGGTTCGAGTCGCCATCATCGGCGGCGGGGTCTCGGGGTCCGCTTCGGCGAGACGGTTGGCCCAACTGGCACCATCGGCACGGATCACACTGTACGAGATGGGTCGTGGTCTAGGAGGTAGAGCCTCTACACGGAAGACCCGCTCGGTGCCCCATATCTACATCAATCACGGTGCACCGTACGCCGATGTGCGGTCGAAGCTGGGTCGTTCTCTAATATCTTCCCTTGGTCCGTCGGGCACAGCGCCCTTTTCCGGGGTGCGAGGATTCTTAGATTCAAAAACGGGGACTTTCGCACCCGGAGATGGAGAGAAAGAGGGAGTGGACTATGTAACAGGCGCTAAAGGCGAAATGTCTCAGATAGCGTCTGCCATGATTTCTGGCATTCCATCTATCGACACAAAATTCAAGACGATGATCCGTGGTCTATCTCGGTCACCCAGTGGAGAATGGCAACTTCTTGATAAGTCAGAAGAGGTCATCGGTTCCGCCGACTGGTTGATCGTTGCGGGCAGTGGTGTTGCACACCTTCGGTGGTCGAAGACCTTTGGTGGTGAACCTCCGTTGATTGCTGCAGAGAAAGCCCGACCGGATCCAAAGCTTCGTGAGGCATTAGATGCCATTGCTTCTCACGAAGCTTCCCCCGTCCTTGCTGTTTTCTTTTCGTGCTCGGGACCCACTGCCCGTAAATGGTTGTCCCTAGATTTTGATGTTGCCGACGTCAACGGGAGTTCAATTCTGTCTCGAATCATGATACAAGGAAAACAGAAAGATAAAAATAGCTCTCAATCTGACGGCGGTGGTGACGAATGGTGCTCGGTTGTTTTGCATTCCACAGAAGAGTTTGCATTGCAAAATTCTGGTGTATACGGCTCGTCTTCCAGTGCCACCAGGATAGGAGATGCTGCCTCGGATGCTTCTCGAGAGAATTCCCTTATCTCCGATATGATGGTAGCGATGAACGAAATACCGGGCATGCCTGAAATTAACACCAAACTACAGGATGAATCATATTCGTCACGTTATGATTATGGACCAGTAATCCATAGATGGGGGAACGCCTTCCCGAAGGGTGATGCACTTGCGGAAGACCTAGCGTTCCTGCCAAGTTCGCGCATTGCATTTTGTGGCGATTACGTTGATACTTCGAATCCAGCTCGATTTGGAAGCTTCGAGAGTGCCTTGCTGTCTGGTACTTGGGCTGGAGAACAAGTTTCACAATTCTGCCAAAAGGACTAATGCGTAGTAGCTTTGAAAAACAGGAATTCTTTTAATTACATGCTATTTATTAGTTTCACCCATAGTTGAATGATGTAATGATGTTCTCACTTGTGTCATCTGTAAAGAGCACTAGTTCTAGTTCCCACTAGTTGCATTTGATCCCTACTAGTACTAGTAGAACACCTGTATAATAGTTGAAGGGGTACATAGTATGTTATCGCTGTTCCTGACAATTGTGTCATACAAGTACTACTAGTACTACTACTAGTCCTAGTTGGATTAAGATAGTCCTTAAACAGAATTACTTTTTTGCATATGAATACAAATTTACTGACAGCAATTCCATTCCACTACTACTTGTGATTAAAGAACAATCTCAATGCTTGCACATGATGATAATAGCTACTTAGAGTGAACAACAAGCATTTACTATGGATAGTTGTGCGGAGGAAGAGAACTTTCTTCAACTCCAGCAGCAATCACCAGTATGTTTAGTACTACTACTACTAGTACTACTAGATCTAAAGAACTAATTTTAAATTTTCAGATATCACCACCACCACCACCACCAATTTTCTTGTTGCTTGCTTCACCATCCTTTTCTATTATAGTAGTAATAGTACTACTAGTAGTAGTACCCACCAGCAGTACAGGGAGTGATAGCTATCATCTAGTAGTACTACTACTAAAACTGGGAACCTCAATTTTGTGTTGGGAAATAGCAGAGTGCTGTGAATCAGTTGCAAAGATTTCTAGTAATGGAATCATCAACAAACAAAAATCCCCTCAGCCCTCACCAATGCCAACACCAACACCAACACCAACACCAAC